TGCTTTAACTGCTACGCTTCCTTTGCCATAACTCTAAAAACAATTTTGAAAGAAAATGTTTGTATAAGAACCAGAGAAAAAGAAAGAGGATGGCAATTTTTTAGAATGTGCTAGACCACCAAATGAGAATTAAACCAGGACTGCAAAATTCAAAACCAAGTCAACCTAAAAATACAATTATAATTTTTTCAGTAACACTTTCTCGACATGTCTTAGTTATGAATATAATCAAGAAAGCAAAAATATCTCCATAATAATAGTACATATTTAAATATATATAACACTGTTCTCCAATTAAACTGAATGTATTCTATCCTACACAGCCTAAAGTATATTTTACAACAAATGAATCAGGATACTGAGTATAACATTTTCATTTCTATATCAGAAGGATAAAATACTATACAACTATTTACATCCCTCAAAAAGAATTAAATACATTGGGTCTAATACTTCTCACACAGTGACTGTTTAAAAAAAAAAAAGTCCACATCACTAAAAAGGCAATATTTATAAATGTAAGGTTTATATTCAACTGCAGATTACACAACCAATGGACAGAAACAATGGCACAGAGTTTAGAGACCCACGTTCTAAACCGTTCTAAGTAACTAATTAGCTTTATGTACATCCTTTGGTAAAACTCAAAATTCCCCAGGCCTCAGTTTTCTCATCTACTAGATGAATAGGTTAGATCTCTAAAGCAAATGCTTCTCAATGCCTAAAACATGTTATTATGCAAAAAGCTTGACTCTTTGGAATGATACCAAACAGGATAATATAGGGAAATGCCCGAATCATTTGGAAGTGTATTTTCTAACCATATAATCTTAAAGTTTACAGCTCTGATCAATTAAAACCAACATTTGGAAATTAATATATTTACTAAAATTTCACCTGCTTGTTACTTATTCTTCTGTGATATTTTAAGCGGAGGAAGTACCTTGAGTGGGAAAATGCAGCAAGCCCAATATAATTACTCTTTTAAAAAGATATTTATTGAGCATTTAGTCAGGCATTGTGAATAGTGCTAAAGACATAATGAGGAACAGGACAGACACAGGTCCCCCCTCATAAAGCTTACAGATTAAAGAAAGAAGAGAAGAGTTAATGAGGAATTTCCATGCAGTGGGAAAAAGGCCAAGAGGGAAAAGTACAGCTTTCTACAGCCAAAGAAGTATATAAATTCACCTTTGTGCATCTTAAAGGAATAATTAATGCAGGACTCCCAGAATTAAATATGCTCTTCTGTAGACAACAAGGCACTCAGGATCCTGCCTTGGGTTGAAGAGCAGCTGACACCAGATTTTTTTACTCGCTATCATAGAATAACTTGAGATCCGGGATCAATAGTGATTCTCATCAGTATGTGCTTCCATCCTGAGATGTCCCTGCCTGCTCTAGAGTTGAGAAGCGGCCCCTACTGTCTCACTGTGAGTTTCCTTGCTATTCCCCATTTTTTCCCATGACTTGAACCTAAACTCTGACCTGTGCCTTATTTCTCTTTGGGTCCTCCTATCCAAATAGAACTTTCTGGATATCAATCCCTGCAGTGGAACTTTTTCAATACTTTTGCTACCTTGCCTATACAGGACCCTACATGCCCATTTATTCAGATACCAACCCTTGACTGGAGTCGTTTAGATTGGCTTGAAATACCTAGACATCTCCTTCTCCATCACCTTCTGTTATAACATCAGTCATCACTTGCATGTTGTCACCAAAATAGTAGTCCCGTCTGTCCTTCCCTCTCAATCTCTGAACAATTTCCTTAGTGCAGACTGTCACCCTATCTCACCAAGACTATGGGAAAAACCTCTTAACTGGTCTCTCTGCCTTCACTCTTACCACCTCTAATACACCTTTCCCATCACTATCAGAACAGTGCTTCTAAATTGTAAAATGAGCATGTCACTCTCTTGTTCAAAACTCCTTTGTGGCTCTCCATTAAATGCAGATCTGAATCTAAGCTCCTGAAAATTACATACAATGCTCTTCTTGATAAACCTAATCCCTACCTCTGCCTGGAGCCTCATCCCCTGCCACTCTCTGTCTCACACTTTCATATTCTAGTATTGTCAAAGCATTTGGAGTTTCCCTGCATTTACCATTGTCTTTCTCTTCCAGGCCATTCCTAGAATTTTTCTCGCTGCATGCATGCTCTTTCCATTTTACCTGCCTAGCATTAAAATTCATCTGAGGCACCAGCCTCCATGGCAGCTTCTGCATACTTCTATCATAGCTCTACTATAAAATATTCAAATTATCAGCATACACGTCTACCTTTTCTAAAGAAAACATGTTGTTAAGAACCAGGACCATGCCTTATTCATTTTTATGCCCACGCCATGTAACACAGCATCTGGGACCTAGGAGTTACTCAGTAAATTCTCTGCTAAACTGAATAAAATGTGGCCTCCACATGCCTTGCCAGAATTTATGACAAAATCATATCCCTAATCTATGGGAACTCCTTCATTGGAATTCCTTTATGACCATCTCAACCCCCTTCTTTCCTGTAATGCCTATTTTTCCCATTCATGGGTTATTTTACTGTGAGTCTGGTCCAACCCTCAGTTGGACTTCATGTTTATGTCATGCCACCACTGGCAACAAAGCAACAGTAATACAATCCCTACCCAATCCTAGAGTAAGCACTAACTCTTCTAGTTCTTCTAGAATTAACACTAACAGAAGAAATTCATTTGGCAGATTTATGAAAACAATTACCAAATGCCCTCTGAAGTCTTTCTAATACTGCAAGATGTCAGCATGAACTGGCTGAATAGCAATTCTATTTTCCATACAGTTTGTATCCTCTGATTTCAGATCTTATCTGCAATACTTATAGAGCTGTCTAATCATAGTTCATGGGAATTACAGCATTGTGGCCCATCAATAACCTAAGCCATCTTTCTGGTAAATAGATTCAATTCCTCCTTAGTCAGTTGGTCAGCATGGCATTTTTTTATCACAACCCTTTCACACTGTGGAAGGAACAACTGTCTTATACAGTATTAAAACTGGTCTGATCAGAAGTTCAATCCCATTAAATGATAAGGGAAAACAACTTACTAGCTCCCAAATTAAAGAGCTATGATTAAGAGTCATCTCTGGCTCTCATAATTTAATGGAACCACAGCAGTGAAAGCTTTCTGTTCAAAAATGATAAAGATTTTAACTTAAAAAAAATTCCAAGTACATTGCTCTTGTTGTAAGAATTGTGGAGTGTGGGAAAAAGAAAAAAGTAAAATGCTATACTAATGTACAACAGAAGTTTCAGGCCAAAAAATTCTGTGACAGCAAAACATGTATATTCTAAATTTTCCATGCAGGTGGCATAAATACAAATTTGCATCTGTTTTTATCAAAAATGATTAGGAATGCACAGAATCACTGTTCTTAAAGTAGGAGAAGAAAATTTATAAGGTAAGGTAGATTCTAATGTTCAATCACAATATTTTTCTTATTAAGAATGCTTTAAAAAAAAGAGAGAGAGGCTTTTCTAATGCATAGCTGGCCTGCAAGGGTGAGCCTTATCTTTCCACTACCTGTCATCTGTACCTTACTCACCAATTTCAGTGCATTTTCTATGGTTACTAAAATATTCTCATCTTCTTGCTGTTGTTCTACTCATAATTAGTCAACTGGAGAACTTCCACATATTTTTTGTAAGACCAACTTTAAATATTTTTTTTTTCCAGAAGCTTTCTATAACATGCTGGCAGCATTATACCCTCCCATCTTCCCAGCACAAACATCAAAATTAATTCTTTCTTCTTTTGTGTTCCTTTGTCAATGTTTACGTATATCTAAGTATAATAACACTCCAAAGATTTTAAAATTTTGTTTGCATCTCAGTTTTCTCTGTTAGACTTTACACTACATGAGAGCAAAGTCCACGGCTTACGGAACCTTATATCCCCAGTGTGTGACACAATGTAGTACACAATCAGTAAATCTTCTCTGAATGAACACTTTAGATGGTAACATGATAATGGTAAGACATTAACTGTGAGTCAGACATGGCATGTAATTTATTTTTCCATTCTTTACCTGGTACTGAACAAGTCACTTTCATTTTGTGAAACCTCACTTTTCTCATATTTTTAAATAAGAATAATGGACAAAACTTAAGGTTTTTCTTGCAATGAAATCCTAAAGTAAACTATAATTGGTCAAGTTTCTAGTTCAGGTGGTCTTGTCATGGAATTGAAATGAGATGGAACATTTTCCATTTTAGGATCTTAAAGCTGAGAGAAACCAGTCTAAAAAGAAATGCAAATGTATAAGTGTTGGTGCTTGAATAAATAGATATCTGCAACTTATCTGGTTATAATTTACCATATATTTTAAGTAATAAATTTTCAAGTTGATCTGATATATTATAGTTGATAATTATCCCACATTGTAGAAGAATATTTTTGCTAAAATTACAAAACTGTTCAATTTTATTTAATTTTTCTCACCTTCCATAAAATTTAAATCATAATGCCAAAGAACTGTGAAGCAGGAAAGTTATCTTTACAATGTACAGGTCACCCCTCTCGCTTTGTAAAAGACCCCAAGAGAGGTAAGGGGATTTGCTTGAGCCATAAGGAGCTCACAGGCTTTGTTTGAGCTTACCCTCAGGAACCAAATAAATTAAGTAATATGTATAAAATGAAGATTAATTCCAGCCACCCTGACCAGGAAGTCACTTCCAGAGACACGGTCTCTCCCAAGTAAAAGGCATAAGAATTTGTCTCTGTGACAATCTGGTTCTTAATATTTCAACAGTTATCCCTTCCTTTATTCTCATTATATACCTACATATTTAAGCTAACTTCCAAATCAGGAATATGGAGGTTGCTAAAATTTGCTGCAGTGATATCTTCTCCTGCAATGAAGTATTACAGCTTCATATCCTCGGTTACATGACAAAATATATGGCTAAACCAAATAGGATGGCTTCAAGATCATAAATATTATGATAACTTTAGGATTCAAAGATTAATTACCTTGCTTTCTGCTAACCAGCGATGTGGGTCATAATGTATTTCAGGACCAGATGAAAAAACCTATAAAAAAGCAGAAATAGTCTATTAGAAATAGATTTTTCCCTGACATGAACTTATATAAATAAAAATTATCAACACAGCATCCAAAAGTTTAGTCCCCAAACTTCAGGATTTAAAAAGAAACTGTACCAAGTATATACAAGAGTGTTATATTCTTATATCCAATCTTTCTCTCATCTACCTTTCTATCTAAATCTCACCCAACTCTCATGGCATCCCTGCCTTTTTAGGGAAATTTTCCCTAATCACCCTAGTTCACAGTATTTTCTTACTCTTTCAATTCTCTACTGTGTTATGGAACATTTGTAAGCATACATTTGTCATTGATTATAACATGCATTTATTTTCTTTTCCATTCACATATGTCACATTTCAATTAAATCTTCAGTAACCTAAGATATAGGGCTTAAAATTGAAAGTCAAAAATAAGATAATACAATGATTCATATGTAATGTTCATATTTTGTGATCTGCTTTACACATTTATATATCGTTTCATGTTTGAGAGAATAGCCTTGACCACTTACAAGTTATGTGGCTTAATTTCTGTAAGCTGCAGGTTATAAAGTAGACAAACTACCTCATAAGGCCAAGATGTAGATCAAATAAAATGAGTGTTAGCACAGTGTCTGGCACACAGAACACACTCAAAACACCACTATTACTGTACATCAAAAGAGAATCATCAATAGACTTCAAGGTCTACTTTGATAAGAGCACTATAACAGGCATTTGACATAAGAAAGATAAAGAGAAGCCATATGAATATGTAAACATATTACAAAAAAGGCACTACATAACAGTGACAGCAAACATTACTTGAATATCTAAATGCAGGATATTTCACACTATAATGTGTACCCTTTGTATTTTATCTTCATAATGAGCCAACTTATAATTGGAAACATGAATTCTTAGAAAGCATAGAGATTACATAACTAGTCCAAGGTCATACATTAGAAATTTAGAGAGATGCAATTTGAACCTACATCTGTCTTGACCCAAAGCCCATCCTCTTCATGCTCTACAACTGAATGAATATTCAAACCATGTGTTATGGCAAGAGAGAATAAAATAAAGACATGATGCACAGCTAATCTATTTAGTTGACTCTTGAAGTTATCAAAGACTGGTCTATGAGAATGACGCATCTTTAAATTCAGACAATTTCCTAATTGTTTTATAATGGTGGTGGTCTATTGTTATTTTTTCCTTAAGTTTTCAAACACCACATGCATTTACGAAAGTGACTAAGTAATAAATATGGTGGCTGCAAAAAAAATGTATTTAGAAATAATATCAACAATCCTCAAAACTTTTCTCAAGCTCATTTATTACATATCTATTACCTAATCCATTCCATAGCAATCACTAACTACATAAAAAGGCTGAAAATTTCATCAGCAATATTTCAAAACTCAGGAAATGATAAAGAATAACTGAAATTATCCCTTTGTTGAAAACATTTTATGAGATTTTTCTGCCACTGTTCCATTGAAAGATGAACTCCAAAGCAAAGAATCAATTTCATCTTTAACAAACCCCTTGGTGTTTTCCTTAATGTGAGAGCTATTGCTAAGTTCTTGGGTACTGATTTTTTCTCAAGTTTATAGGAACAAAACAATGGAAGTTACTAATGGGAAAAGACCCACAGTGAAAAATATGTAGATGCTTTAAAAAAAGTGTAGAATTTCCATTCTTTTAGACTTACTTTCCATCCACGACTTGGATTGAACTAGTCTTTTTCTAGGGGAAGACATTGAAAGATCATGCCACAATCACTCCATGCCTGAAAGCCTATTAAAGAATAGGGTATTTTTTGGAATATGCTATAAAGATAGTTTGTACCTCATAAAGAATTAAAATATTTAAGCAATCTGCTTTCTACACACAATGTTTTTGCCTGCAACTACCCACAACAAAGTTTATATATCTTATAAAATGATTCAAATGTTACCAATTTTATATTCCCACATGAATGAAAAATTAATCCTGACACAAATATTTAAATATAGAATAAATATTGAATTGTTAATATGTGCTTCTTTTAGATGGAATTAGGATTTTCAAGGCCACCCATTCTTTAAATATACGTAAACAAGACAAGTCTTAAATTTAAAAAGCATTAGACAGAAAAAAGAATAAACCAGCATTGTAACAGGGCCTGTAACAGCCCTGAAAGAGTCAGTTTTCTCCCTAAAGCCAATTACTTCTCATATTAATCATGGCCCTCTCCACACTTAAATTTGAACTTTTTAAAAAAAATGTATGTAGAAATACATATTATAAAAATTCCATCCACTCTACCAAATTCTACCAGTTGGAATATTTCCATTAAAGTTGAATCCTAAGAAACCTTTGACTGCAAGAGAGGAATTATAGTTTTATTTTCTTTTAAACATCACTTAAGAAAGAAAAAAAGAAAGATGGGGAGGAAAAACAGGGGGAAAAAGGGGGGAACTAAGTACTACGAGAAGAAAAGATCATTCTAGAGGAGGAAAAAGACAAATGGATGACAAAATATAAAGAAGAAACACCTGAAAAGTAAAAAGTACTTAAGCATAAAGCATAATACCACAGTGTTGCCATATCATCAAATGAAGTAAATACAGGGATAATAGATACTGAACTATCATGTGTTATGGTTAGACCATATCAAAGCAATGTAATGCTCTCTGTATGTAATGCAGCAGAATCAGAACCTACACTTGATGAACGTGCTTAGCTTCAAGGAATTCAAAACATCCATAATCACTTGTTTTTATTTGTCATTTCACTATCACTATAAATTGAGTAGCAATATTCCATTTTCAACATAGAAAAACTTAATTAAATATAATTTGCTTAAATAGGGAAGGCAGAGAGCATAGTGGTTACTTATCTATGTTCCAGAGTTAGACCTCCAAAGTTTGAAGTCCCAGTTTGGCAATTAAGTATATGTATGGCCAGAGACAAGTTACATAACCCCCTCCCCCCAAGCCTCATTTTCTCTTCTCTAAAGCGGTATTTCATCAGAGTACCTAAGGGATAGGGTTGTTTTAGGGTACCTGCAATATAGTACTCAATAGATGGCATCCAGTAATATACTAACAATCACAAAAATAGCCTGAGATAATGAAAAATTAAAAATCCAGGCCTCTTGACTCCAAAGATATTTTCCTTAGTCAGAATTGCTGCCTCTCTTGTAAGACATTTTCTCTTACAGAGTGCAACACAGGCAATTCAATAGAATAATATCCCACTTTCTCTAGTCATTACCATGCAATAGATACAGAGCCTCATTCAAAAAATGCAAGAAGTTATTTTGTTTCATAAAACTTTCTGAAATAAAAAATGTGACTACCATGTAACCATTCATTAAATTCCCATTATAATTAATTAGAAAACTAACTGAAAATTTAAAGTACAATGAGAACTCATAATTACTTTCAATTTCTCCATTGAGTCCCTGGAGAAGGTTTTACAAGCTGCATCAATTTCCTTTCCTATCACACTAAGAATAGATTCCTGTTCAGTCTCCAGACAAAGAAGTTGATCCTTGAGCTGCAATCTGGCCTCTTCCATCCTCCTTAAGTGCTCTTCTTCATTGCTTATATGTTTCTCCTAAGGCATTGATAAGAAATAAAACAGAAGTTAATTATTAAGTGGAGACAAGAAATACTTTAATATATATACACCCAACTTAAAAATTGGATTAGAAACTCTATCAGTCCCTTTACTTTACCAAAATAAAACATTCTACCTACTCATTAAGTGGGATAAAGTTATGGAGAGTTCAGAAGTAGAGCAGTTTGGGAACTGGTGAGCAGATACTTGGCAAACAAAATTATAATAATTCAAAACAAAAAAAAAGATGTTGAACCAAAAAATCTCTTACTGTTTTAATAAGATATTGCTATTAATGGATCAGAGAGTAAAAGCTGATGTCACAAACTAACTTTGAGCTTTCACTAAACATGAATAAAACACTAGAAAATGTAATTTGTCAAATATAATGCTGTTTTTTCATTTGAGAAAAAAATAACTATCACCTCTATCTCATTAAAACATAGGTTTTTAAAAAGTCTGTTTTCAAATGCAGCTACATTACACAGATGCTTTAGAGTCATGAAAATTTGATATAAGCAAGATGGAGGTACTCTCCAAGTAAGCAAATACACTTAACGAAAAGGGGTTATAAGGATTTGGGGGCTCCCTCTAGGAAAAACAATTTTCAATCATTATGATTATACAGTTTCATCAGCAGAAAAATTCAAAGTGGTACTGCACAGGGCTTGTGATAAAATCACAGAATCACTAGAATTATATATATATATAATTGGTGGACCAAAGTCATGATGGCTGTCTATTACGCCTTCAGTCATTACATAATAGCCTAATCATCTTTAACTAGCCTACTAAATACAACCAAACCAGAAAAGATTATGTGAGCAACAAATCCAGCCTGAATTTAAAAGAAATAGCAAGGAGGCCCACTCACTGAAAATCAATTGAAAAGGGTAGAATGATGTTTTACCAAAAGAAGCATGATATTTCTTTTCAACTTACTTTTAAAAATAAAGAAAACAGGGCCGGCCCCATGGTGCACTCGGGAGAGTGTGGCGCTGGGAGCGCAGCAACGCTCCCGCCGTGGGTTCGGATCCTATATAGGAATGGCCGGTGCACTCACTGGCTGAGTGCGGTGTGGGCGACACCACACCAAGGGTTGCGATCCCCTTACCGGTCACAAAAAATAAAAATAAAAATAAAAATAAACAAAACATCATCTGCCCAAAAGGACAGACCCTTTCACAACCAGTCTTCAGCCTTGTCTTCCTCCTTTCCACTCTCATACTTTCACTACTTGCAGTATCTCAAATATGCCTACATATGTCTCTCCGACCACATCTGACTTATACAATTCTACTTGAAACTGTACTACTTCAAAGTGGGGCTGGTAGCCAAGAGACAGCATTTATCTTGAGTTCACCTCAGTCCATCCTCCAGGCCTGGATCTCAGCTTTGTAAACTTAGGAACTGGGACTTCTTTCCTTTTGGGTATCCTGAGTGAAGCCATCTTTCAGCAATAGAGTAACATTAAGCTCACAAGAGACTAAAGGACAAACTATAATGCCATTCAATTAACTACATTAGTTTATGATAAGAACCCTAGCTGTCATATGGATCCAAATGCTTATGTCAGCATTACCCACATATTGACTTCCTGTAGACTGATCTAGGTGGGAAGGCAAATTATAATCAGAGTGTATCTTAACGAACAGGAAATCAGAGTAAGGGCAGTTCATTTTATGAAACAATGTTTACAGGCCATCAGGCTGGCAGCCTGGCATGTCCATCTAAACATCAGGTGTTTACAAACCACAACAGCATAAGTGTTCTGTCCTTCTGGGCAGTGTTTGGATCTCCCTAACTTTCTCCTTTCTTTGCATTCAGTTTCTGTCCAAACACTCCCTCCTCATCAATACCTGATTTCTTGTGATCTATTGATATTTTCATCAATTCTTAACCTCATCTAGGAGGTTTTCTGAAAAATTAAAGTGCTGGTTCTGAACAGGGTGTGAACATATTATAGTTTGCTTATTAGAAAGCAACCTTATTGCCAAGGCCTTAGGTGAGGGCACTTGCCTTCCTATTGCTCCTATGTACCTACCACCTATACTTTTCCTTCACAGTTAATCCTTCAAGACTCAATCTCCTTTCTTTTCTGATCACCCAAAGCATGTTGTTTATATCATAGTTTTTTAAAAAGTTATCAAGTTGTAATATAATTTTGTTTGCCGCACCTTTCTCCCTCAATAAATTGCTAATTTCAGGAAACCATAAAACATGTTTAAAATCGTCTTTAAACTCTCCCACTTCTCTAAAATAATTTAAACCTTTTTGGAGACTCAAATTCAACACTGTAAAGATGATTTTATTAATTACCCTGCAGGTTGATATCCTCAGAGGCTACTGAGGTGTGCTAGGATATTTCTCCCTACACATACATAAGGCCTTCAGATGGCTGCAGTGTTCTCACTGGTGTGATGTTAACAAAGAAAATACTCTACCGGGGGTTACTGACGTATTAGAAGACTGCCCATATTCTAAATCCAAGCAATTCACAATGATGTTCTAATTGACCTTTCTTTTCTAGCTTCTCACACAGCCACCTCTCTGTTATCCACTATCACTTTTCTGTGGTC